CGAAAAACCAAAAAAAAAAAAAAAAAAAAAAAGGCTTCAGAAAACAGAGGAAAGAGCCCATGTGAAGGCGAGCGCCCCCTCAGCCTCCACGCTTTCAGTATGGTTTACTCCGCCCACAAAGACCATGTGTGAGAGATTAGAGGTGTGTGGCAGTGGAAATATCGAGTTGGAGGTGGGGAGGCTGAGGAACCAGAGTTCCTGACAGCAGGACATCTCAGTTCAACACCTTCTGGGGATTAGCGGAGACAAGATGCAGGATTTAGACTTCTGTGGGATTTTGATCTCGGAGCCAAAGTTATCTCACCCTCAAGAGGATACCCAAGGTATGGTTTCCCAGCAAGGACATGGTGAGCTGAGTCCTGGAGGCACCATGGTGGTCTCAGAAGGGCATCCCAGGTACCCCTTGCTGACCCTGGCTGAAGCTAAGACCATCCTCCTCCTCCTGTTCGGAGCACACAGGTCTTTGCATCTGAGTTTATGCTACCCCCAGAGGAAGGAGAGGACCGTGGCCAATTTGCCCTCTAGATCCTTCTGGAAATTCTCCTTTCTCTGTTAATGAACACTTGGATCCCTTCCTTTGCCCACAGGAAAGTAAACTAATAGTGAGGGCATCTTCCCACTCCTGTGTGGGCAAGGTGGGGCTACTGGAGGCTCCCCCTAAGACAGACTCTGAGGAGGAGAGGTTTTATAGAACTCAGCCAGCCACAGCCAGTTCCATCCTGCCCAATGGCTGGTTACGACGATGCAGCATGGAGCCTTTCTGCGCCTCTTCCCTCAGCTGCCCACCAGAGCATCGATTTCCCTAATGGTAAGTCTCTGCAGTGGTGGGTGTTGGCTGCCCTGTCCCAAGCCTTCCTGTGGCCACTAATTAGCTGAGGTCCAGAGACTGCACTTCATAAATGGGAAGCTGGAGCCCAGAGGCCCTACTGGGAAGCCAGAGAAGGCTGGGCTGGGCCTCAGGCTTGCTTCTTTCTGACTGTTGCTGACTCAAAGGAAAATCGAGGGTGTATGGGGTGGAGGATGGGGCGG